GCAATAGCAGGCAATAGCAGGCAATAGCCACCAATTGCTCGAGCTTCCTGCCCAACGGGGTGTGAAAAATACGTAGTTTCTGGAACTCATTCCTTGTTCATATTGTTCTATAATGTTACTTATATGTATACATATATCATATATATACATATATATAATATTACTGTAGTTGCGATGATTAAGACCACTAGAGGCAGCACGTAGCAGCCAGGTCCGTAATGAGATGCAATGAAGATTGCGATACCCATTTGTGCTGTCAGTGTCGCTGTGTCACTAATTACATAAGTTCATCCATTAATCATCATATAAATCTACGTATATATATATATATGTGTGACCCTACATGGAGCCCTCTCTCTCTCTCTCGCGCGATTCTCCATGGTCACACATGTATGAGACATGCTGCAAAGCTGCCCAACGCACCTGCTTCCGCAGCTGTTTTAGCTCATTTGGCAGCTTTCTCGCGGAGCATAGCTTAACTATACCTCCACCATTGAGATCCGATGAGTCTCTCACTCTGTGCCAAGAGCTTCTGAGTGAAACGAATCGTTGTGCCATGCACAAATCTAAATGGCTGTCGGACAATCAGCGCTGGCAAAGCGAGAACCAGGGATGTCAAACTGTGAAAGCTGCAAGTGGAATCCTGTGGATGCGCGCTGACAGCCGATGCAAAATTGACCGCTGATCTGTGAGATCATTTACAGGCAGATCAGGATAAATCTGCTAAAGTGCAGGAGCACTAACAGCATTCCGGGACATGCGTCCATTCCGAATCAGAGTCCAGCTCGCCTTGACAAAAGCCATCTCTTCCAGAACGCATTGAACATGCTACTTACAGAAAGAAAAAACATGTGAGAGGTCAGCAGTGGAAATGCACGAGCATGTTCATCTGTCTGCACGTCTAGATCAATAGGTGACAACTGGTGACAGCATAGTTGACAGTCTGTTGTGTTTGTTGCGAGCGTTTTTAAAAATGCGTAAAAATGATTAAAAATGCCGTTTCTATCCGTTTCTGCCCTAGTTGGAAACGTTGGATGCAGTCTTTTCTTGGGACCTCTAGGAAACCTTCTTGAACCCCTTTCCTTGAAAAGTGTCCAAAGCTTCTGGATCGTCAGATCCTTACAAGTTTCACCTTGGTCGGACCATCTTGGACCACCGTCCACCTTCTGAAACTTCTGTGAGCAATTTAGGTTGGAAATTTTGGAGAATCTCGCAACGTTACAGAATAGTAGGCAGACTTGCAGAACGACCTTCCAGATTCACCTGGAACCTCTCGGAACATTTCCGGATGTTCCAAAGCACAGAGCTTAGAACAGACCTTCAACCCCTCCATTCCTTATATTCCTTCCAGAACCTGATCCAGGTGCCCAGGCCAGGCAGGGCTGCGCTGGATTGACGCAGCATGCATTTTAGGGTGTATGCAATGTGTAATTATGTCTTTTTCATTCTTTTCATATTTTTTCTTTTGCTTCTTGCAGGGAAGTGCTTGTGCCCCTGCTGTACTAATCTCAAAGAATTCAATTCTAAAGGGTGTTCCCTTTCAAAAGGACCTGAAATGCCTTTGCCCAGCACTCACATGAAAACTGCTGTACAGTCCTGGCTATGCCAAGTTATAAACACTGCCAACAGCACTGGGCAGCTCTGCTTCAGGAGGTGCTCAGGGGAGCTTCGCTCACACCAAGCACAGCATGTGACTCACGAGTGTACCTGGATACAGTCCATTTTGGCTGGAAGGGTCCACTCACTGTGAACCTCTGAAATATGGGGCCGAGGCTTCAGAACCAGCCGTCAGCTGCTCCAACTCAGATCTCAGCTCTTGGTTCTGTTGCTCCAACTGCTTTCTTTCAACTCGGTGGCGCTCAGTACTCAGCGTGGACTGCCACTTGCACTGCAATCATCTGTTCAATCTGTCCAATCATCTGCTCAATTTGAGGACCTTGGATCGCCAGAGCATTGGACTCATTGGGCTCATTGGCCTCCTCTCCAGGCAAGTTCACATGGGGGGCTAGCGTCCCCTGTGCTGTGGAATCTGTGGAATGAGTATGTCAAAGTCGCCAGCATTCTTTTTGACCTTCTCCTTGCTGGTTTGGGAGATCGCCAGCTTGTTGAAGGAGTAGGCCACCTCCTCCAACCATCTGATGGACTCGTATTGAAGCTCAGCTTCCCTGTTCTTCTTCTCCGCTCCATGAAGTTCCCCTGCTGGTGCAGGGCTACTTCCTTCGCATCCCTCTCAAAATCTTTGTTTGTGCCAGAGCAGACCTGCCACTAAACACCTCTTTTCAAGGATTCTGCCAGCTCTGTTCTTCTGATCCTTGGCACGTGCGTTCACCAAGCTCAGCATTTTTATGAATTTTCTTCCTTCCTCCCTTGCTCAGCTTTCTCACCAACTTGGTGGACAACATGGAATTCGTCCAGGATAGCAATGATCTTGTTGAGATTCATGGGCAGTCCATTTTGAAGGATCAAGGCTCCAGAAACTCCCAACCATGTCTGGAAGTACTTCGTGACGAGCTGTTTTGTCAACTTGTCATATTCCTCCACCCTTGCAGCTCGGCACGAAGAGCTGGAAATGCTTGCAGCGCGCAACACCTCGTCGACTCTCAATTGGTGGGGATCTCCAGCAACCTCGCAGTCTGTCACTTCCTTTAGCTCTGCAAGCTGTGATGAGAGATGGTTCTCCATAGCCCAAAGCAATTGCATCAATTTTGTTGGCTTCCGAGCCGAATTTTGCTAGGGTCACTTTTGCGGTTGTGGCCTCCTGCTCGAAGTGTTCCTGTCCACTTTCAGCCTCCTCCTTCAACTCCTCCACACGGTCGGACTCGCCACTTGCGGGTCACTGGGAGGCTCCAAGTCTTGAATCTTGCAAGCATCGCCTAAGCAGGCCTGAGAATGAATGCTGGTTTGCCAGATCCCCAATGATTCTCAATGTTGAATTGGTCAAATGACACTTTGACCTGCTTCAGTCTCTTGGCCACATCCTCCTTAACAGTAGTGTATAACCTTCAGCAGGACATTGTTGGCCTTCTTGATAGACTCTGACTCTGCCATGGCTTCAGTTGACACATGAGCTGATAGACCAGAATGCATATATACAGATGCATATATACAGATATCATATGGATATATTCTTGGAAGTCCTGGCAAAGCGGTCAAACAGCGAGAATTGCCAAATATTGTCAAATATTCCTAGATTCCAGAACAGGTATGAAGATGCAAAGCTGACAGAACGTCTTCAAGCAAAGTTAAACCTCTAGGGCTCAGGCTTTTCAAACAGACGCCTCTCCGGCCGCTGGAGGTATGATATTGGCTTGTGGCAGGAATGGCGACTTTGAATGACTTTGACTGGTTTCAGTTTCAAGTCAAACTTCATAAAGCCCAAAGCATGATGACATTCCTGATATTTGATGATATTTCATGATATTTGCCATGATATTTGCCCATTTTCGGAATTGCCTTTGCAATCGCCACACCATTCCAAGTTGGAACTGCCCGTCTGTGTGGCTCCTGATCGACATGCAGCTCTTGGAGCTCCATGGTCTGCAGTACTTGGGTTGCCTAAGACTGCTCAATAATTGGATGTTTTTTAACGAACATAATTTACCAAATACTGTATTCCAAAATCTATGAATCTCATTGAATATCAATTAATGTACAGTATATGATGATTGTAGTGCAACTATGAAATATCATGAAATGGTATGAGTACGGTATAACTAAGATGACTAGCGGCGCATTTCCTGACCTGACATGGGTATTGCTACACAGGGATTCCAGATGACCTGAAAGCAAATTTCACTCTTCACGCCCGCTTCGCAGCCGTGATAGCAGTTCAGGTCCAGTTGAAACGGTGAAACAGGTACACGCCCATATTCAAGCAATCAAAGTAGATTGAAGTAGATTGACAATGATGCTCAGGATGAACGTTGCAATCCTCGGTGTCATGGCTGCAGCTGCAACCGCTGCACTCCTACAGGAGATTTGGAGACTCTGCAGGCCACCGCCATAACACGTGTATTCTGGATCCGAGCAGAGATTGCACCCCGAAGGAAAGACTCCGGTGTGGCGGGGTTCGCCTGCACAATCTGCAGTGTCGTAGTGCTCAAAGGTGACGTTCCCACCGACCTTTTGGTGATGTCAAAGGCAGTTGAAGCTTGTGGGGCTCCCCCTAGTCTAGCTGAATCAACTTACTAGGCCATTGTTACCCAGTCTGAACCTCCCCAAACAACAACAGCGGTAGGCCGATAGGCCCAATAGGACCTCAAGCCAGAGTTCATGAACAGAAGTTGTCCAAAGAGAAGCAATCCGCAGCCAAACAGAAAAATACTTCTGCCCCACCTCGGAGCAATATGCCTTCACCCAATCCTCACCCATGAAGTTGCCGGGCGGGACGCATTCGAAATTCTGGTTGAAGTTGTATCCTCAGTTTGCCGCGGGACTTGAAGATCAACGGGTGATTCGATTTCGGCAACGGTCTCACTTCAGAAAACCACAAAAAAAAGGCGTTATCAACAACAGCGAGCGACCAGGTGATTCTTGTTCTGAAACCAATCAATTCAGTAATCAAATGTAGACGATGTTGCCCGTAGAGACGAAACCAGAAATTGCCCAACCCAAGCCACTGTATCACCGTGGTTTGAATGGGGAGCCCTTTTGTCTTTTACATATCATATGATGCAAGAACCTCTAAAGCATCAGAAGCAAATGGCTCAGGCTCAAATACTGGACATGCTATGCCTGGAAAAGGTCCAAAAGTGGATCAATCAAGCTCACGAGATGCCTGTGGTTCGGCCAGAGCAGGCAGAGGTGGCATATTGCCTGCGATATGGCACAACGCTGCCACCAACAACCATGCCTGGCGTCTGCGGTCATCCGGGCAAGCCCGCAAAACTGTACACAGGCAGCCGGCATTCAGAAGGACAAGGTGGCCCTGAAGTCTGGTCCTGCAGACAATCAAAACGGGTTCTTCCTGTTGCAAGTTGTCATGTAAACTGTTGCACAACAGCATCGTAACATATCGTAACAAAACACTTCATACATGGTCCAATCGTGGTAAACACAACAAACATTCCGATCATTCCGCCAAAGCCACACAGCAGTGGGACACCCAATTGGAAGACCATCCCGCAGAGTGATCGTTTTTGCGCCGTCAGCTCAACAGCGAGGGTGGATGTTCCACCACGATCACAAACTGCTGCCCTGTGACATCTGAGCCAGATGTGCTAGTGATGTCGGGATCTGCCAAGAAGGGGTTGGCTTGTGCCGATCACTAGCAACGTCACTTGAGTGTCGTGACCTCGTAGGTGCCCATCCAGTCATGTTTGAAATACATTGAAATTGCGACAGAAATATATTGAAAAATTGATGAAATATAATGATTACATTGATATACATTGATTACATTATGATTACAATGCATCAACTATCATGAAGTCCGTAGGGAGGCTGCAGAGGAGCCAATCGATTCAAAGTGAGCCAACCTTCCATGATTAACAAGTCCGTTGCCTATACAATCTACGGTGTTTCTGACGTTCTCCTACCTTGCCGCTGCAATCACTCTTGCACTCCCATCTGCTTGGGGACTGCTGTTCAATGCTGTCCTGAGAGGCTTGCCGAGGCGTTCTGTTGCACTTGCGGCCAACCGATGCCCACCTGCAAGTGCAGAGAACCATTCTGACTTCAGATGATCACGGGTCGACTGGTTTGACAACACGTCGTGTGATACAAGTTACAAGTCTTCCGCTTCAAAGGATTGAACTTTGCAGCGGTTCACAACTTCACAAATGTTCACAATCTATCGCCAATGTTTTGGGTCATCCTTTTACTTACCAACATGGTCCAACATGAGTTCGTTCCGACATCTTGCGACATCTTGCGACATCTTGCGACATCTTGCATCTTTGGCATGCCTCTCAGGGCGAAGCTGAGGTTGTGCCTGAACACAATCTTGACGCCCACAGCCAGCATCGCTGATGTTTTGTCTGTGTTCAAACGATATCATACAGTAAGATGTTTTAAGAGCTTTCGAGGTTTGAGGTTAAGGAAAATGGAACTGGCATTCACTGGGTTAAACCCGGTCACAAAGGAAGTGCAACGCGAAGATCAGAGGTATTCACATACGTGTACATACACTGCTTCCAAGCCACTGCATTGCGAGTCTTGTACCTACACTTGGCAGAGTCAAGCAGTCAACTTAGACAAACACGTTCTATTGCATCTTGGCGTTTGTCTGGGGTTGTCTCAGCAGAGCAACAGGGGGAACATGCAACAAACGTTTTTTGCCATCCTACTGCTGCTTGCACGTTCCAAGAATGTGCCAAGCAATAGGTCCAACAAACCAATGGACCAACACCACAAGTCATGAGAAATGTGCCCGTGCCCATCCTATCGCGGACACTCTGGTCATAGAACATGCAGAATCACATTCTGTGTCGACTTCTGGCCGCGAATTAGGGTCGCCACCCTGACCATGCATCCAAATGCCATACAAGCGCTTTCTTGGACAAGACCACCTGACGGGAGACGGCGTCATGCGAAGTCTACATTGAGTTAAAATGTGTCTAAGTAAACGAAAGTCAAAGAACAGTTTAGCCACTGTGGGCTGTTTCTGACTTGCACAAGAGGCAGTTGGTGTAATTTGGCGCGGGTGACAGCAAACTAAATGCATGCAAATCAGATTCTAAGAAACCAAATTGCATGTGTCCAAATACTTCCAAATGTGGTCTGCACATGTTTCCCCATTTATCCCGAAGGCAGGCTTGTAAAAGTAGGGGAAGACTGCAACCATCATGCTTGCATGTTGTCGTCATGATGAGAAAGGCCCGGACATTCACAGCACAATGTTTGCCCATTCCAAAGTGATTTAAGAGAATAATAGTGAACAACATTGAACAACTATGAATAATTATATAATAGTAAAGGCTTTGGCTCCTGGGCTATTGCACTCTTTCGGGCCTTTTCAAGTTTCTCTTCTGAGCAAGGGGTAACTGAGTTCAGACCCACCTGGCGAAGAGGATGAAGCAAGGCAAGAGTTAGAAAATGACGGACAGCATCTTCCCCATCCAATAGAATCTAAGTCTTGAAATAGAACTGAAGTATCTTCCTAACATCTTGCAACCAGCATGAACCGGCTATGCCGGCTAGGCCAGCTATCCACGTTTGGATCCAAAATTCTTGCCTTGATGCCTCCACCGGCAACGTCAACCTGATTGGCTGAACAGTCTGATTTCTGAGGTTTGTGATGGTGTGATGGTTTGTGGGTAATTACTCTGAGCAGTGTGCTCGTCAAATCTACATTGAGACTGTTCAAGCGATTCTTCAATCTGAGGCCAAGGCAGAGTAAACTCCTTCATGCACTGAACGGACTCGACCTCATCTGAATGGTTTCTCCATGGAACGATTTTATATCCTGATGACTTATGTATCTGATTATTATCTGATTATTATAGTATCTGATTATTAAGTATGACAATTTTAGTATCTGATTGTATCTGTATAATTGGTATTCTGTCACACCTCTTCTTTCTTCCTGCCTGACGGTGGCCTGCAAATGTATGATTTGACAGAGGCGAATGAGGCGAATGCATCACCTTTTTTTTCTTCGCTGCTTCGAGCATCGAATGACTGTCCCAACTTTGGACCTCTTCGGAAAGTTGGATCCGTCGCTGCATCTACAGCCAGGCACCTACAAGGCTCCAAAGCCTGATGGCAGTGAAAAACTTGTGGCGGAATCTGGTACAGTAACCTGGTGTATTTGTTTTGGTATCATTGAGTCAAAGAGAAGTGCACTTGTGTGCACTTACATCCGCTTGCTTCGTGGTTGGGTGCTGCATTATCTGTGCAAATGCAAGCTTGGCAGGGCAAGCATTGCAATGCATTGCAAGCCCAGGGAGAAGTTCCACAGGGATTCTCCAGTGCTCAGGCCTTGGGCCAGTCGTTAATTCAGCAAAACGTCTCAAAAAGTGCACTCAGGCAGAAAGCGCTTGCTTGGCTCGCCTGCGGCTGCACAGTGAAATGCACCACGCATCACCACACTATCCTGGAATCGTACAAATATTCCATATGTTTCTTTATTGTATGCACATTGGAAATGATTGCACATGTTTTTTCCATCATTTGCAAGAATCTACTGCTGTCCCTGTCGCTCAAAACAAGTGCTTACTCCATCTTTCTCCATGACCCTCAAAGTCCCTCAAACCTTGGGGCCTTGCCTATGCAGCCTTCGCTGCCTTCGGCCCGTCATGCAGTGCTCGTCTGCCCCAGAAGTCTTTCTTCCAGTCCCAGGATGTCCCGTGCAAGTCATCAAGCCATCCCATCGCTCCGTAGTTGAAATTGAACTTCTCCTTGGAACCACAGCGAAACCAAACACATCTCTCAGAAAGTTGCGTTGGTCCCACTTCCAAATCCACAAATGCAGGCTAAGCTCATGATGAAAGTCATGGAAGTTTGGCTGGGCCTCTGCCTGCAAAGTGGCTCACTGATCAACAATGAAGGAAAGAAGGATTCAGCTCTCCAAAGGTGAAACAAGAGCAGGAGAACTTCCACCTGGAATGAGAAAAGGTCAATCCATGGCCATCGAATACCGCAATGGTGTGTCTGCGTGGCCATCACTGCAAATGCCATCCACACCACCTCAGCAGGACTACAAATACTACGTGATACTACAGCCCACTCCCTGGGCCAACTACGGAAACTGTGAGGTCCTCTTTCCGATCCTACCAATCTGCCAGCTGGGGTGCCAACACCAGTGAAGCCGTTCGTTCGGACTGCTACTAAGCCAGCTCCTAAAGGCCTGCAAAGTCAAAGGCTGCATAGTATATATATATATATGTATGCATGCATGCGTGCATGCATGTATGTATGTATGTGTATCTGTGTATCTGTATATCTGTATATCTGCATATATATATATATGTCGTGTATGTCGTGTATGTCGTGTATGTGTATGTGTATATATATATATATACATTCTACAAACAGTATACTGTATACATATGTAAATTATATGTATGCATGTAGTGTAACAGAACGTAACGTAACGTAATGCAATATAATGTAATGCAACGCATGTTCATATTAGTGTAATTAATGTAAGCACTGTATGTAATGTAATGTAATGTAAAGTAATGTAAACATAAATGTAAATGTACTGTAAATGTATAGTTAAGTGATGTAAAGTAATGCAATGTAATCTATATATATATATACATGCAACACTGCAACACCATGTAGTGTCAAATGTAGTTTACTATAATATACATAATGATATAGATATACATGTTTATATATATATATATGCAGAGAGAGAGAGAGTATCTTTTATAGTTAATGTATGTATTCTATATCATGCATGTATTACTGTATTATATTAATTTATTTTGTACATTTAGTTATGTGTAATATGTAATATGTAAATATGTGTAATATAACATGTTATACAGTAATATTTTATAACATGTTGTAACATGCCATAAGCGAGTCCAGAAGGCATTGAGTTTTGCTTGGCCCTTGCCGAACAATCGTCTGAGGGACGCGCATCAGATCTGAAAGGAAGAACTCAAGTGGATGGCAGTAGATCGCCGCCAGGCCCATTGGCGCCTGACACGAATTCCCCTCAATACCTTTTGTTTAAAGCGGCTTGCGTCTTGTTGTGCGGTTTGTTAAATTTCCGAGCAAAGAAGAAAAGTAGCATGACTTCATATGACTTCTGACTCAGGATGGGTTCCTTGCCGAGTTCGGATGATTGTCTTGAAGCTCTCCCTGCCTTGAACTCGTGATGGATCTTGTGAATGTGCCTCTCAACTTTTCTGGAAGAGCTTACAATGGAGATTGCCTGACTGACACAGCCCTTGCCTGTACAGGAACTTGTTTGCGTGCATGAGCCAATGTCCATAGAAGAACAGCACCTGGCATTGGCACAAAGACGGGTGGTAGTGGCAGCTTGCCAAAAAATACTGAAAACTCAAGACCTCTCTGCGAAATGTCCCAGCTGCCTCATTGCAGAGAACGCCAAAGCCTGCGTCAACTATAGCCAACTTTCAAAGCGTGCGTCACTGATGCAAAGGAAGTAAAGGAATATCTATCAAAGTGCAGGGATGCAAAATTTGTTGCGGCGCGCTGCTGCATTTTAGCCCTACATGTGATCAAAGGAAGTTTAGGGGGAGAAACTTCCGTGTTACGGACTTTTAGAATGTCAGGGAAAGAGTTAGTCAAAGAAAGAGTTAGTCAAAGAAACAGTTAGTCAGGGAAAGAGTTAGTCAAAGAAACAGTTAGTCAGGGAAAGAGTTAGTCAAAGAAAGAGTTAGTCCGGGAAAGAGTAGCAAAGACGGTTATTGAGGGAAAGAGTGCAAAGAAACGTTAAGTCAAAGAACGATGTTATTGAGGGGAAAGAGTTAGCAAAGAAAGAGTTAGTTAAAGAAAGAGTTAGTCAAAGAAAGAATTAGTCAAAGAAACAGTTAGTCAGGGAAAGAGTTAGTCAAAGAAAGAGTTAGTGAGGGAAAGAGTTAGTCAAAGAAAGAGTTAGTCAAACAAAGAGTTAGTCAAAGAAAAAGTTAGTCAGGGAAAGAGTTAGTCAAAGAAAGAGTTAGTGAGGGAAAGAGTTAGTCAGAGAAAGAGTTCATCAGGGAAAGAGTTAGTCAAAGAAAGAGTTAGTGAGAGAAAGAGTTAGTGAGAGAAAGAGTTAGTTAGAGAAAGAGTTCATCAGGGAAAGAGTTAGTCAAAGAAAGAGTTAGTCAAAGAAACAGTTAGTCAGGGAAAGAGTTAGTCAAAGAAAGAGTTAGTGAGGGAAAGAGTTAGTCAAAGAAAGAGTTAGTGAGGGAAAGAGTTAGTCAAACAAAGAGGTAGTCAAAGAAACAGTTAGTCAGGGAAAGAGTTAGTCAAAGAAAGAGTTAGTGAGGGAAAGAGTTAGTCACAGAAAGAGTTAGCAAAGAAATTGTTCCCTGAATGTAAATGGCATTGCAAGTGGTGCTGGTGGAGGAGTTGCCGATGGAGTTTTGGAGGAAGTCTCGCACGAAATGCGTTTTTGAGAGATAGCAGATGCACGAAACCCTATGTTTTTCCATACAAAGTCTGTCCCCGAACCTCGATGATCTACCTCTGCGGTGCGACGGGTGCGAGACGGTCTCGTGTGTGGTCGGATCATCCTCGGATCATGGTCGGATCGGTCTCGGATCGGTTCCACATTGTAAATGGGGTTTCAACTGTGTTTCGTCTATGTGCGGTCGACAGAATTCCATTGTGAATTGCAACTGTAGGATCGTTCCCGCAATGTAAATGGGATTGCAAGTGGCGCTGGTGGATGAGTTGCCAATGGAATTCCATTGTGATTTGCAACTGTAGTATCCTTCCAAACAGTTAGTCAGGGAAACAGTTAGTCAAAGAAAGAGTTAGTCAAAGAAACAGTTAGTCAGGGAAAGAGTTTGTCAAAGACAGAGTTAGTCAGGATATATGAGGTAGTCAAAGAAAGAGTTAGCAAAGAAAGAGTTCGTCAGGGAAAGGGTTAATTAAAGCAAGAGTTAGTTAGGGCATTGATTGTTCCCGCAATGCAAATGGGATTGCAAGTGTTGCTGCCGGATGAGTTGCCGATGGAGTTTTGAAGGAAGTCTCGCACGAAATGCGTTTTTGAGAGATAGCAGATGCACGAAACCCTATGTTTTTCCATACAAAGTCTGTCCCCGAACCTCGATGATCTACCTCTGCGGTGCGACGGGTGCGAGACGGTCTCGTGTGTGGTCGGATCATGCTCGGATCATGGTCGGATCATGCTCGGATCATTCTCGGATCGGTTCCGCATTGTAAATGGGGTTTCAACTGTGTTTCGTCTATGTGCGGTCGACAGAATTCCATTGTGAATTGCAACTGTAGGATCGTTCCCGCAATGTAAATGGGATTGCAAGTGGCGCTGAGGGATGAGTTGCCAATGGAATTCCATTGTGATTTGCAACTGTAGTATCCTTCCCGCAATGTAAATGGGATTGCAAGGTTGCTTCCTGCTTTGGCTGCATACGTAATACTATTGTCTTTTGCAGCCGGACTTCGTAAATCGTATTGGAGTGGCTGCATGAAGGCTGCGACAGTGATTTGTCAGCAGATTTTCTTCATTTAGGCGCTAGTGATTTTCCTTCTAAAAATCTTTTTAAAAAGTGCTTCAAAATCTTTTTTTTTCGCTCTGGCGTCGAGATCCGGTTTTGGAGCTACAATTTCCGCACTCCAATGCGCGTAGTTCTATTGTCTTTTGCAACTCAGTCTCTGCAGATTGCATTGTAATGGCTGTGGTTGCATTCGTAGTCTCGCACGAAATGCGTTTTTGAGATAGCAGATGCACGAAACCCTATGTGTTTCCATACAAAGTCTGTCCCCGAACCTCGATGATCTACCTCTGCGGTGCGACGGGTGCGAGACGGTCTCGTGTGTGGTCGGATCATGGTCGGATCATGGTCGGATCGTGGTCGGATCATGGTCGGATCGGTCTCGGATCGGTTCCGCATTGTAAATGGGGTTTCAACTGTGTTTCGTCTATGTGCGGTCGACAGAATTCCATTGTGAATTGCAACTGTAGGATCGTTCCCGCAATGTAAATGGGATTGCAAGTGGCGCTGGTGGATGAGTTGCCAATGTAATTCCATTGGGATTTGCAACTGTAGTATCCTTCCCGCAATGTAAATGGGATTGCAAGGTTGCTTCCTGCTTTGGCTGCATACGTAATACTATTGTCTTTTGCAGCTGGACTTCGTAAATCGTATTGGAGTGGCTGCATGAGGGCTGCGACAGTGATTTGTCAGCAGATTTTCTTCATTTAGGCGCTAGTGATTTTCCTTCTAAAAATCTTTTTAAAAAGTGCTTCAAAATCGTTTTTTTTTCGCTCTGGCGTCGAGATCCGGTTTTGGAGCTACAATTTCCGACGCCGTTGCGCGTAGTTCTATTGTGCTTTGCAACTCAGTCTCTGCAGATCGCATTGTAATGGCTGCGTCAAGGTTGCTGCGTGCTGTGGCTGCATTCGTAATACTATTGTCTTTTGCAGCTGGATCTCGTAAATCGTATTGGAGTGGCTGCATGAAGGCTGCGACAGTGATTTGTCAGCAGATTTTCTACATTTGGCGCTAGTGATTTTCCTTCTAAAAATCTTTTTAAAAAGTGCTTCAAAATCGTCTTTTTTTCGCTCTGGCGTCGAGATCCGGTTTTGGAGCTACAATTTCCGACGCCGTTGCGCGTAGTTCTATTGTGTTTTGGAACTCAATCTCTGCAGATCGCATTGGAATGGCTGCGTCAAGGTTGCTGCGTGCCGCGGCTGCATGCGCAATACTATTGTCTCTTGCAGCTGGACTTCGTAAATCGCATTGGAGTGGGTGCATCAAGGGTGCGACAGTGATTAGTAGTAGTGCTGGGAATTGGTTAATGAAAGCTTAATAGATGACATATGAGAAGGGACGAGATGAGAAGAGATGAGGTGGGATAAGGTGAGAAGAGCTCAGATGAGATGAAATGTGGAGTGTGAAGAGTGCAGTGTGAAGTGTGGAGCGTGAAGAGTGCAGTGTGAAGTGTGAAGTTTGGAGTGTGAAGGAAGCAGTGAGAAGTGAGAAGTGTGAAATGTGAAATGTGAAGTGTGAAGTGTGGAGTGTGAAGTTTGGAGTGCAAAGAGTGCAGTGTGAAGTGTGGAGTGTGAAGTGTGAAGTGTGAAGTTTGGAGTGTGAAGAAAGCAGTGAGAAGTGAGAAGTGTGGAGTGTGAAGTGCAAAGTGAGAAGTGTGAAGTGTAAAGTTTGGAGTGTGAAGGAAGCAGTGAGAAGTGAGAAGTGTGAAGTGTGGACTGTGAAGTGTGAAATGTGGAGTGTGAAGTGCGACGTGAGAAGTGTGAAGTGTGGAGTTTGGAGTGGGAAGGAAGCAGTGAGAAGTGAGAAGTGTGAAGTGTGAGTGAAGTGTGGAGTGTGAAGTGCGAAGTGAGAAGTGTGAAGTTTGGAGTGTGAAGTTTGGAGTGGGAAGGAAGCAGTGAGAAGTGAGAAGTGTGGAGTGTGGACTGTGAAGTGTGGAGTGTGAAGTGCGAAGTGAGAAGTGTGAAGTTTGGAGTGTGAAGGAAGCAGTGAGAAGTGAGAAGTGTGAAGTGAGAAGTGTGAAGTGTGAAGTGCGAAGTGAGAAGTGTGAAGTTAGGAGTGTGAAGGAAGCAGTGAGAAGTGAGAAGTGTGGAGTGTGAAGTGCGAAGTGAGAAGTGTGAAGTGTGAAGTGTGAAGTTTGGAGTGTGAAGGAAGCAGTGAGAAGTGGGAAGTGTGAAATGTGGAGTGTGAAGTGTGAAATGCGAAGTGAGAAGTGTGGACTGTGAAGTGAGAAGTGTTAAGTGTGGACTGTGAAGTGTGAAGTGTGAAGTGTGGACTGTGAAGTGTGAAGTGTGAAGTGTGGACTGTGAAGTGTGAAGTGTGCAGTGTGAAGTGTGAAGTGGGAGGTTTGGAGTGTGAAGGAAGCAGTGAGAAGTGAGAAGTGTGGAGTGTGAAGTGTGGAGTGTGAAGTTTGAAGTTTGGAGTGCGAAGAGTGCAGTGTGCAGTGTGAGGTGTGGAGTGTCGAGGGAAGGACACGGTCGGGACAGGGTGTCTTTGAACTATAGGTCATTTATGTTTGGGAAACTTCCGCCGCCGGCTTGCCCGGGTCTATGTTATAATTTTACTAATCCAACTTCCCCAAAGCCAAGAAGACAGAGCAAAATGAGCCAAAGACTCGCCATGACTTGCCATGACTCACCCAAGGCCTATGTGAATAAACATCTCCCAGGGCCCTGGAAGTGCTGCTGGAAGTCCTCAGAGGAGACTGAACTACGAAAGGATGGATATGAATGGATGAAGATGATGAAGTGGTTGAGGAATCAGTAGACCGATCAAACAACGAACAATCAAACGAGATAAGTCTAGTGATTGGTTTTGGATGCCACAAGCAGCTGGGATGTGTCCAGCGCCGTGGATGATGGCAATACCAAAAAAGAGTCCAAGCGGAATGTAAAAGAGAAATGAACAACTGCTCGAGTACGGCACTGCACACTGCTTGGGTAGGTTTTATCTGATAACACGACAGTACTGAGTGAGAAACTCACTCTTTGCCACATTGGAAATAAAGCCAGCAACAGAACTGGCAGCACCTCAACTGGAGAGGCGTTGGTTCACACCAGAAATGTCAGAATGTTGCTCTGATTCGAGCGAACATACATTGACATACGTATATTATATAAGTTACGTATATAAGTATAAAAATCTACGGAGTTTTCATTATGCACTATATACCCTTTGCAGAGAAAAAACAAAAAAGATCAAAGAAGACTATACAGACTACAGAATTGATTCTATTGTTCATTTTCAAACCCTTCCATACATCCCTGGCTCGCAGCCGACATTCCGGGTCCGTATGTCTACGCGTTGTTCTCATTTCCTTTGAATTCCTTTGATTCGTGTCTTCCTTTCATCAGAAGCTATGCTGTAGAACTCGGTTACATATGGTTACATAAGTCGTGATGCACGTCTGTGCCTTTGAGAAGACTGTTTTCAAAAACTTGCTGGATGCGACTGCAGGCACCAGCAGGCACGTACGAGCCAGATTTGCCCTCAGCGGCAAGGTGATGCCAAGCAAGTCAAGAAAGACAGGTTTAGGTCGCTGTTGCTAGCCATTAAAGCTACTAGAAGACTTTGAAAGGGAACGCTCTTTACCAAAGGAGCCATACGCCGCCATGCGCATGAACAGATTTTGTCAAGCTTCATAAGAGTTGACAACTCTGGTCTGCTAGAAGGCCTGGCATCAAAATTTGGTTCATGAATTTCATGATCAGTTACTTTTGCATACTTTTGCAATGTTTTGCACAGTCTGCCAAGTCGGTTTGATTGCCATGTCATCGTCCCAAAAATTAGACACTGGGCCAAAGCTACAAAACTGTCGCTGCATCGCATAGCACATCAGCGTTAATCAGCATTGGCATCAAAAAAACAAAAAAGAGCTGGACAGGCTTCAAAGTTTGAATGCGGTAGCCAGCAATGGTCTGCGGGCACCACATCTCAACCTCAACTCAATCCGTCAAAGTCAAAGCAAGGATTGAATCAGGATCAAACCTGGAAAGATCTGGAAAGTTTGCAAGATTGCTGTGATGCTGTTCATCAATGTTCATCAAGCTTCATGACATCTCATGACATGTGGTTGTCTTTGGAAGGGACCGCGTATAAGAGAAATCCGTTGGTAAAGTAGACCACCACAAAGGTTGCCTCCACAAGTTCAGTTCCAGTGCAGCGGTATGACTAGTTCTGGGAAGGTTGTGCCATCTCGTTAAACTGGCAACGGAAAAAGCATTGAAAATCTGAGGAGCACACCCACAGCAGAATGGACATCATTGTGGCCTGCCCAGTAGGATCAACCTCAAGCAATTCTGAGTTGCATAGAAACTGACCTAGCCGCCGCACATCTACTTCTGAAAGAACATCTTCAAATTCTGTCTCAATTTCAAGAAGTTCAAATGAAGTTCAACAAGTTCAACAAATGCTCATCCATCCGTTCATAGCTAAGGTATCGCTAAGGTCAGGTCCCCAGGTATGGCCTCAGCTAAAGTCTCGATCTGTCCCGATACATGGCATTCAGTCCTACTTGTGTCAAACTGAGGAGATCACAAACTTTGGCATAGAATCCACCATGCTCAACCTCGACTTATAGAGACTTGCAAATGCCGGCGCTGACTTCATGCATCACATGGACTTCACAGGATCCATAGATCGAAATAGTTCGAAAGCACTGGAACCACCACGACATGGTGCAGGACGTTCTCCTTTCATATGCTTTCCCTAGCCCTCTTCTCCTTCAGGTGTTCGTCTTCTAATTCATTCTAACTTCATCTTCGAGCGGCCAAAGTCTTTCAGGGGGCGCAAAGACCACCAACGCGGCCAGCAGAATGACCAAGGGGCTCGGTTCCGGTGCCTATCACAGCAAGTAATTACTGAGCAGGAGCATGATGTGTTGACCCATGTGGACCCTTTCCAAGATGCTCAATAGGCCCAAAATGCCCAAAAGGCCCAACAGGCCTTGCTTAGCAAAATCAGCAGCCATAGCTTGGCAAACCACGTGCCTTCAAGTGCCTGTAGCGTCAGTCCACTTCATCAGATTCAAACTTCTGCATCAGTCCTTGTAGCGCCTATATGAGTCAAGCAATATAAGAAGTGGCAATAGCCATGCCTGGCCTCCTGCACTGGCATGAAGAGCTGCTTCAGTCTGTCTTCCATCAATATAATGGAAAACAGGCCACCCAACACCAGGGTCGCAGCGCAGGCATTGAATGCCGCACTCCTGGCAGTTGGAATCTTCCATGAAGAGTTGAATCAAGACATGGTATGGATCCCTTCAGCCCCTCAACACATTCACAATGTCAACTGTCTGTCCTCGCCATACCGACAAAATACTAACAACTGCTAAGAGCAACAACTATCAGCAATCAGAGGCCAACATTGTTCTGAGCCAAATGCAGCAGAGGCCCGGGCCATGCAAGAGTGAGAAGAATGGCTGGAGCTACATAAAATATCAATTGGTCAATTTAACAAGTTTCTTGCAGTGTCCAGACATTATCTTGCCAAGTCAGTTTGTGGACTGTGCAGAATGGGTTGAGGCTCCTGCCATAGAACGTTTTGTTCTGTGCAAAGAAAGCGACAGGAGTTCCCACCTTCATGCTGACTTTACTACCGTTGTGCTGTGAAAGCAAACCAGCCGAACATGGGTACAGGCGCCGCCTCCAACGGAGACAATTCTGGAGTCCTGCCACGTTTCATTCACATCACATAAGGTCAAAATCTATCGAAATCAAGTGATGACAGCACTTCCAGGCACCGGCTTCTACATATTCTATCATTTTCTACTGCACTCTTTCTGTTTTGATGTCGAAAAATAAGTAGTGCCAGCTGAACGAAACAGTGCGAGGCAAGGATGGTCTTGGGGACAGCTTTGTATGAAAAGCTCTGCTTTTCGAGATCTGAGCCTTGTTGCAACATCCGGTCGAACATGTTGCACAACATGTTGACATGCACCAAACATCAAGAGTTGTGCTACTACCATATGCTACTCGATATGCCATGATATGCCATGATGCTACTCATTGCTCATGATTCCGCTGGTGGCCACGGAAAGGCGCCTTCTGCAAATCAAGTTCACTACATAGCGTGACTGCATCAAGGCCAGCCTCGCAGGAATTTCCAGCCGCACGAGATTCGCGACATTCGTCACGAGATTTGATATGATTCAGATATGATCAAAGTATATCAAAGTGTTTGGATGTTTTTGGATGGTATAGATACAGCATGCTGCAACTGCCGCAACTAGCAACAGCATGCAGCAACAAGGCAAGCGACTGCATTCGCCCTTCCCCAGGTATGGAATCAGTCCAAACAACTCTGCAAAGGAAAAACTATGAAAGACTCTAATAACTGCAAAAAACTCTTGCCGGGGCCGGGTTGCTTCAAAACGAGGAAATCCACAGATCAGCACTTGTGCCTTGTCCCCACTTTTGTGCACGGGCTTTGCTTGTTCCATAGTCTCGAACTAGAGTCGGGCCTGATCGCCCCTAAGACCCTAAAGCTCTCAGATCCTTTCAGATCCTTTCAGATCCTTTCAGTACTGCGGCCCTTTGGGGACATAACCTTTCGAAATGGTAGACACAATATAGTTTGATGGATCTCTAAGAGTCTCATGCTTTGCTGAGACTGACTCCAACAGCTCAGATGCATGCGATGATGGTATGGTAAGAATTGCAGTGATCGCATCTGCTGAGAGCAGCAAACCGACGGATTCAGCTTTCAGCATTCCAGCAGTAGCGACAAGGGCAGCAGCAGCAATTTCTTCGTCTGCTGCAGTCAATTCCCTTTTAGCCGGTGGAGGTGGCGGGTTCGGCTCTGTCGGAAAGTCCTGAGCAGAGTGAGCATACTTACAAGTGTTCTCGTACTTGCACCAACCATGCTTGGCAAAGAACTGACAGGGCTCGTTTCCATCTGGACCGCCACATCCACCACATTCACCACATCCACCACATCCGCCGCATCCGCCGCATCCACCGCTGTAATCCTGGTATCCGTAGTCGGAACCGTGAAATCCGGGTCCAGGTCCACACCCAGGTCCTCCAGGTCCTCCAGGTCCTCCAGGACCAGGCCCGCCCTTCCCACAGCCCTTTCCACAGCCCTTTCCACAGCCCTTTGCGCCCTTGCCACAGCCACCAGGGCCACAGCCGCCACAGCCACCACAGCCAGGGCTAGGCGTGTCAGGACCAGCGATGTGCTTATATCTGCACTGGTCGCCATATTGGCACCAGCCAGCTTTTTCAAAGAAGCGGCAGGGTTCGTTTGCAGGTTGTGCGTCACTCAGTCCGGCGATGTGCTCATGCCTGCATTGGTCGCCGTACTTACACCAGCCTGATTTAGCAAAGAATTGGCAGACCTCACCCGATTTGGCACCACCAGCACCAGGACCTCCTCCATTGGGAGTGTCTGGCCCCGCCACGTGGGCATGTCGGCAACCTTCTCCCCATTTGCACCAGCCAGACTTGACAAAAAACCTGTTGTCATGTTGTCCAAGAATGTGAAATGTTGGCGCTTGTGATGTACATTATATTTGTATCATATGAGTAAATTACATGTATATCATCAAAATTATAAAAACATATAAAAACAAAATTATCAAAAGAAATTGCAGTGAGCGCAAAAAGTTTTTGAAACAATGTATAGAAAGAACAAAAAATAAATAAAAATCGCTCTGCTAAAGTCAAGACTCTGACAAACTTGTCCTGAATCCCCTGCAGGGCCTTGATCAGGGCCGCCAGGGCCCCCAGGGCCCCCAGGGCCACAAGGGCCACAAGGGCCACAAGGGCCACAAGGGCCAGGGATGGGGCTAGCTGAAAATTGACCTACGCCGCCTCCACAACCTCCATCTCCAAGGGGTGGTGGATATGGTGCTGGGCGACTGTTTCCTCCATCTGTAATCGGCCCAAAGGACATCCCAACTCAACGACGTCCACGATAAGCTCTAGCATTTTGAGCCACACTAAGAATTCTGCATGTATCATTGCAAACAAACTGCGTCCATTTGCAATTGACATAACCAAAGTGCGATGTTAACTATAGTGTACATAGACACTGCAAACAACATCAGAGAGTCTTTCACTGGTTCTATTCAACTGTCAGTAAGCTATACATATATATATATATGTGTAATATTATATATATATATGTGTATATGTTCATGTATATGCTCGTATATGTATATGTATAGATTGTATAGGTATATGTATAATAGGTACGTGTATAGGTATATATGTATATGTATATATGTATATATGTATACATGTATACATGTATATATGTATATATGTATATATGTATATATGTATATATGTATATATGTATATGTATATATAATATATACATGTAACTATGTATATATGTCAATCCTGGCAGGTGCCAAACCACATTGTGTTGGCGCCAAAGACAAAGCGGTGAGGATATGTTGCAAGGCCATTGGAGTCACAAGCATGGTTACAACCCTGACTGCTTCTCAAGCGCAGCTTGCCTTCCTTCCGCCACCGATCACATCAACGGTGTAGGTGCCTTGGGCCACGTACAATGTCAAGTCAGGTCTATATCCATATACAACATATCATGTATAATATATACATATCCGCCGACCCCGGCTGGCAGCAAGGGGGAGCGCGCTAGGGAAGAAGAGTTTACTACTACTACTAGTACCACTATTACCAGCACCCCCACCACCACTACCACTACTACTCCTACTCGGAGGGAGTGTTTGGGCGCAATTTTGATGTTTTTTCGTCTTGTCCTGACATGGTGTTTTCCTATCCGGGCGCTGCCGTTTGAACAGAAGGAGTAGCAGGAGCACGAGCAGCAGCAGCAGCAACAGCAGCAGCAGGACGAAATCGCGGCTGGTTTCGCGTCTGTTTCAAGAGCAGCAGTGAGTCTAGCAGCAACAGTAGCAGTAGCAGTAAGCTTGCAGCAGCAGTAGCAGCAGCAGCAGCAGCAAAAAGAAAAAGTAACTCAAATGATTTCCTGCCTATGTCGTCCGTCAGAGTCATGATGTTGCAGCAGCAGCAGCAAAAAGAAAAAGTAGCTCAAATGATTTCCTGCCTATGTCGTCCGTCAGAGTCATGCTGTTTTCCCCGTCGGGCAACAACAACGACAACAACAGCAGCAGGACGAAATCGCGGCTGGTTTCGCGTCTGTTTCAAGAGCAGCAGTGAGTCTAGCAGCAACAGTAGCAGTAGCAGTAAGCTTGCAGCAGCAGTAGCAGCAGCAGCAAAAAGAAAAAGTAGCTCAAATGATTTCCTGCCTATGTCGTCCGTCAGAGTCATGATGTTTTCCCCGTCGGGCAACAACAACGACAACAACAACAACAACAACAACAGCAATAGCAACAGGAACAGCAAGAGCAAGAGCAACAGCAAGAGCAACAGCAAGAGCAACAGCAAGAGCAACAGCAACAGCAAGAGCAACAGCATTTGTGCAATGGGAGCAACAGCAGTAGCAGTAACAGCAGCAGCAGCAGCCGCAGCAGCAGCAGCCGTAGCAGCAGCAGCCGCAGCAGCAGCCAACAACAACAACAACAACAACAACAACAAGAACAAAAAACAATGACCCTTTGCCGGGGGACCCTGTTGGGTCCCCCTCCCACCGGTCACGTACGTCGATTCATTGACTCCGGGGTTTTTGTTTTACCGGTGGGGGGTCCTTCCCGGAGTCTCCTCGAGGTACGTGGGGCTCCTTGGGTTGCCCTTCCCGCTCTGATCTGTTCCTTCGAAACAGCAGGATTTCAGAAGACACGTCTTTTTGTGTGGGTTGCGGAAGTTACATTAGGTAGTTTTGGGGCGCAATTTTGATGCTTTTCCGCCTTTCACTGCCATGGTGCTGGCCCATCCGCCTTTTGAACAGAAGGGATCAAAGGAGCAGGAGCAGCAGCAGTAGCAGCAGCAGTAGCAGCAGCAGCAGCAGGAAACATTTTGATGCTTTTCCGTCCTTCACTGCCATGGTGTTTTCGTTTGGTGTTTTCCTGCCGGAAGGTGATTTTGTCGAAGGCAAGCCGCTGCAGGCAACAGAATCTCTCGAAAAAGGTTGTTTTTCTAGGATTGCAGACGGGACGTTTGGCAGTTTTTTCGCATGGTTTTGGAACTAGCTCGTCCTGTAGAGCCATGGTGTTTTCCTGCCGGAAGGTGATTTTGTCGAAGCTGTTTGATTGCAAGCAGCCGCAGGCAACCGAATCTCTCGAAGAAGCTGTTCTACTGCCAGCAGTCTCGAAAAACGTTGTTTTTCTAGGATTTCAGACGACACGTTAGGGAGTTTTTTAACGTGGTTTTGGCACTCGCTCGTCCTTCAGAGCTATGGTGTTTTCATGCCGGCAGCTACTTTTTTTCGAAGCTGTTCTACTGCCTGCCGGCAGCTGCTTTTTTTCGAAGCTGTTCTACTGCCAGCAGTCTTGAAAATGGTTGTTTTTCTAGGATTTCAGACGACACGTTAGGGAGTTTTTTCACATGGTTTTGGCACTCGCTCGTTCTTCAGAGCCATGGTGTTTTCCTGCCGGCAGCTGCTTTTTTTCGAAGTTGTTCTACTGTCAGCAGTACTGCCAGCAGCTGCAGGCAACAGAATGTCGTCAAAAAGGTTTCTTTTCTAGGATTTCAGCTTTTTTCGAAGCTGTTTTACTGCCAGTAGCTGCTTTTTTTCGAAGCTGTTCTACTGCCAGCAGTCTTGAAAAAGGTTGTTTTTCTAGGCTTTCAGACGACACGTTAGGGAGTTTTTTCACGTGGTTTTGGCACTCGCTCGTTCTTCAGAGCCATGGTGTTTTCCTGCCGGCAGCTACTTTTTTTCGAAGCTGTTCTACTGCCTGCCGACAGCTGCTTTTTTTCGAAGCTGTTCTATTGTCAGCAGTCTTGAAAAAGGTTGTTTTTCTAGGATTTCAGACGACACGTTAGGGAGTTTTGTAACGTGATTTTGGCACTCGCTCGTCCTTCGGAGCCATGGTGTTTTCCTGCCGGCAGCTACTTTTTTCGAAGCTGTTCTACTGCCTGCCGGTAGCTGCTTTTTTTCGAAGCTGTTCTACTGCCAGCAGTCTCGAAAAAGGTTGTTTTTCTAGGAGATTTCAGACGACACGTTAGGGAGTTTTGTAACGTGGTTTTCGTACTCGCTCGTCCTTCAGAGCCATGGCGTTTTCCTGCCGGCAGCTGCAGGCAACAGAATCTCTCGAAAAAGGTTGTTTTTCTAGGATTGCAGACGGGACGTTTGGCAGTTTTTTCGCATGGTTTTGGAACTAGCTCGTCCTGCAGAGCCATGGTGTTTTCCTGCCGGAAGGTGATTTTTTCGAAGCTGTTTGATTGCAAGCAGCCGCAGGCAACCGAATCTCTCGAAGAAGCTGTTCTACTGCCAGCAGTCTTGAAAAACGTTGTTTTTCTAGGATTTCAGACGACACGTTAGGGAGTTTTTTCATGTGGTTTTGGCACTCGCTCGTTCTTCAGAGCTATGGTGTTTTCATGCCGGCAGCTACTTTTTTTCGAAGCTGTTCTACTGCCTGCCGGCAGCTGCTTTTTTTTCGAAGCTGTTCTACTGCCAGCAGTCTTGAAAAAGGTTGTTTTTCTAGGATTTCAGATGACACGTTAGGGAGTTTTTTCACGTGGTTTTGGCACTCGCTCGTTCTTCAGAGCCATGGTGTTTTCCTGCCGGCAGCTGCTTTTTTTCGACGTTGTTCTACTGTCAGCAGTACTGCCAGCAGCTGCAGGCAACAGAATCTCGTCAAAAAGGTTTCTTTTCTAGGATTTCAGCTTTTTTCGAAGCTGTTTTCCTGCCAGTAGCTGCTTTTTTTCGAAGCTGTTCTACTGCCAGCAGTCTTGAAAAAGGTTGTTTTTCTAGGATTTCAGACGACACATGAGGGAGTTTTTTAACGTGGTTTTGGCACTCGCCCCTTCTTCAGAGCCATGGTGTTTTCCTGCCGGCAGCTGCTTTTTTTCGAAGTTGTTCTACTGTCAACAGTACTGCCAGCAGCTGCAGGCAATAGAATCTCGTCAAAAAGGTTTCTTTTCTAGGATTTCAGCTTTTTTCGAAGCTGTTTTACTGCCAGTTGCGGCTGGCAACAGAATCTCTCGATCTCTCGAAAAACGCTGTTTTTCTAGGATTCTAGGATACTTTTTTTCGACACTGTTCTACTGCCTCTCGAAAATGTTATTTTTCTAGGATTTCAGGCGGGACGTTTCCTGCCGGCAGCCGCTTTTTTTGATTTCGATGGTGTTCTACTGTCAGCATCAGCAGTCTCGAAAAAGGCTGTTTTTCTAGGAGATTTCAGACGACACGTTAGGTACTGCCTGCCGGCAACTGCTTTTTTTCGAAGCTGTTCTACTGCCAGCAGTCGAAGCTGTTTCTCCTACTGCCAGCCAGTCTCGAAAGGTTGTTTTTCTAGGATATTTCAGGGTCAGGAATTTTCAGGTAAAAAAGAGGAATGACGAAGACAAAAGAAAAAA